GACAAGAGACATATTTTAAATGATCATTTTGTCTGCAGAGGAACACAAAGCTGTGCCAGATCAGCAGCAGCTGATGAAAATTCAGGCCAACTGGAGCCAATGTCTGTGGCCTGAGTAAAAGCTGAAAGGCTGCATTTGCTTGCTGACCTCTGCAACCACAAACCTGCCCTGCATAACTGAAAATGTGATCGCCCTTGGTTTTAGCTCAGCTGCGCTACATGGCACAACCTATTCCGCTTGAACAACATGTGCAGAAGTCTTGCGCACGGCACAACTGTTTTCATGTCCTGAGAGGGCCATGGGGCTAGGACAGCTTTCAGGCACAGCTGGTGATAGGGCAGGTGCAGTGAACCTTTGCTTTCTTTAGTTATGATTGCTATTGCTAAAGTTATTTAAAAAAACAAAAAGGCTGTGTTGAAGCACTGACTTTAGAAACACCCACGTATGCTCACTCTGTAGAGAGGTTACTTATGTGCCTACTAATTAAATCCATTATAGGTATGTATTTCATACATTAGAACGGTATTGCTATGCATTCCACCACTGCGTAGAAACAGGTCTGCTGTGTCCCACAGGAATGTCTCTTTTCCAGGGTGGCATCTGCTGTCTAGAAAGCTTTCCCCATGCCTCAAATCCTCTCCACAACCCACTAAACCATGAAAATGCAAAGAACTTGAAAGCAGAGGGAAGATGGGTGGATAGTGTAAATGTCTAAAGGGAGGGAAGGAAGGACAGATCCTGTCTTTGAGGTCTTTTCTTTTGCCCATTCCCCATTAAGCAGAAAGCAGTGCCCTTCCCAGCGTGCCATGGAAAAATTCTAGGGTAAAAAGTGGCCACCTTAAGGAATCCCAGATCAGGATCTGCTGCTGAAGTCCAATGTGAACCACGAGTGAGTGTAGGCACTAAATTACACGTGGCTGCTTTGCAAGTACATGTACACAAAGGTGCCAACAATGAAAGCCAGACGCCAGATTGGAGTCATCTGCAGGGATTGCATTAGTAGGAAATGGAAGTGTCAGTCACACCCCTTGAAGCATATTGCCACTCATCTACCACCAACTACACTGTTGAAGCCCATGTGTGGATGCCACTTGCCACATATGACACGGGGCATATGTATTGGGCATTGGGATACCCCCCGATGGTGAAGAGGCCACGAGGTCCTGGAGCCATTGGGAAGAAGCATTTTGTTTGCACGGGTCACATCTGCGTGGAATAAGGTCTACACTAAACTACCTAAAGCTCTTGCTAATTTGATCTTAGCATTATTTTAACATAAGATTAAATTAGAACAACTGAATTTCCTATGAGCTGATTTAAACGTTTGATATTCGGCAAGAATATCAGTTGGGTTGGCAAACCAGCTAATATCAAGGTGACTGCAAGGAGGTTAGTGCCCACTACTATATTCTGGCAGGTCAAATGCTTTGTACTCTCCCCCACAAACCCATGCAACACCACTCTGACAACAGGACAGGACTCATAAGAGAGCAAGGTTCTCATGTGCGCTCTACAGACGGAGGAGCTTAGGGGACCAGTGTCAAGGACGTCTCACCGATATGAAAACTAAGGAGGAAGGCATCAAAAGATAAAGGAGCACAAATCTTGCTGAGCACCAGTGCAAAATAATGTAAATGAAATCCTGGACTTGCTGAAGTTGATAGTGAAGCTTGTTAGCTTCCATAGGACCAGGGTTTGACCCCTTACTTCAAAATCCTTTTTTTTTTTTTTTTAGTTTCCTTATAAGTAATGACACTCCTGATTTTGCAAGGCAAAGGTTCAGTAACTTGATTGTGCTGGAGACAGGCTGATGACAAGGACACTCAGGTAAGTAATGAAATGTCACCGTTGTCTACCAACTGCAGACTGCCACCTGCTTAGAAATCCAGACAGCTCTCTTAAAGACAGTCATCTTTCTTCAAGGCTCTTTGTTGGATTGGCAAAATGAGGTCCCAGTCCTGTAAGGTAAGCTGCCCTGAACTGCAACACAGCCGAGTGCTCAGTATCTTGCAGTATTGGCTCTGGCTAGCCACTTCCCTCCTCACTAAAAGCCTAATTTGATTATAAATACACTGACAGGTAGTGTTATTGAGGAAAGGGGTACATGACATCCGGATGTATTTTGAATGTATTTGTGGGGCAAAAATTACAAATATTTTTTACTTTGTCTAGAATTTATTATACATAAATATGCCTAATGAACTAGATTCATACTTTATGAAGATAGAGACTCATACTATAAAAATGGAAGAGCAAAAGTTTTTTTCCACTGGTGCCCTGCTTCTCAAATTAGTAGCATTTATCCTTTCAAAGAGAAAGACCAGCCCTCTTTATTACGTATGTGCTACTTCAAAGGAATAAGGGTTTTTCTAGCTAAGCAAAGCTGGCATGAATAACACCTTATACCTTGCACCCCCTAACATCAGCAAATGAGGTTATGGCCACCTGAGCCAGCTCATGCACCAGGCGCGGTGTAGCTACAGCAGCGTGGAGCTCAACTCAGGCTGCAAAACCTACCACAAAAGTGATGCGCTTGGATTGTTAGTCCACACTCGGTTCCAAGCTACGAAGGCTAGATCATGGCCAAGAGCCAAGCCAGATATTATTAGTTTATAACTAGCTCAGATATGCCAGCATGATGCTGCAGCAGCTGCAATCTAGACATGGGCTCCAAACACTCACACCTGTCAAGACCGAGTGCCACCTTTAGACATTCATCTTCCCAGCTGGATCAGCTTTCTTGTTGAATTGCTTGGTGGGTCATATTAGATACATTTTAAAATACAGTTGAAAAGTATAATGCCCAGAGGTGACCCTGAACAAGCTGGCTATTCAGTGCTCCCATGGAGTTTAAAGTTGAGCAGAGCCCTAAACAGGGTTTACAGCTCTGCTCAACTTTACACAAGCGATGTGGATACTGTTAATAGAGAGTCAACAAAAAGCTTCCAGACCAAGACAGACAGGGGCTCGCTGCCCCATAGGCAGAAGAATGGTCAGGATGAAGTCCTCTTACCCCACTGTAACCAGTTGTTTAGTACAGAATAAATGTCGTATATTCCTTTAAGTAGAGAGAAAAGAGTTAGCACATGATGAGAACATGATAGCTACAGATGCATGATAACTCTGGAGGTTAAGTACACAAGGTCTAAATAAGGAGTCATGGAAACAATTCAGAAAAACAATCCACACAAATGGTAAGAGAGCTGTAGACTAATGTACCTGAAAAGCAGAGGCATGCTAACCTACGCTAGATTGCATTAAAATCCAGCATTATCTGTTTAATAAAATCATTGGCTGGTTTGGTCAGAAACATTTAGAACAAAGGGTGCAATAAAAGCAACGTGACATCCATCTGTTCAAGTCAAATTTTAAATGCCAGCATGCAACATTCAGATCGCCACCTCTTGAAAGCAATTTGGTTAATGAATCAAAATTCAGACTATAGAGAACAATCCAAAATGATGCACGTGTTAGGATGAATAGGCTTTTAGTTGTTTTATCAGTTTACATTACAAGCGCTACAAAAGAAACCTGTTAAGTAACACCCTTTAGTGCCTACTAGTCAGAAAAGCTTCCCATTTCAAACCAGTTGGGGTGGGAGGGGAGGGAAGAAAAAAGCAAGAGACCATTAAGGAAACAGCAGCATTGTGTACGACGAGAGATACAAAATTGCTGATTAAGCTATTCCTTCGGACTAAGTAAGCTGCAGAAGGTTGGAATCCACTGTTAGCTTATCCAAGCTGCTGAAACATTCAGTGTTAGGGCACATCTTTTCAAGGCAAGCTGCAAAATGTTTTGTACTTCTATCTAGTTCCACAAAAAAATTGGACTACACTCTTTCCAATACCCTTCCCCCTCCCCTGCCCTCAAAATGCACAACTCTTCTCGATGGTCAGATTCAGGCAAGTATGTGCTTTGATGTCTTTGGAAAGAGACCGTGTTTTGGCGGCACTTTTGTGGGTAGCAAGACACTGAAAAGTATCTATGCATCAACTTATTTTTCAGTCTCTAACTATTTGGAAATACCTACTCTGAGCACTGAACATATGGAAGCATACAAAACTAGATAGGCACCCAAATGAAGTCTTCTCTGATTTGGAGAGATTCATGTAAGATCATCTGTGGGCAGGAGGAATATGTTTGGTATAAAATGAGCTTAACACATCTTGATTCCTATTGTTATCAGAGTAGCAGACGTTTTCCTTTCCTTGTGCGACTGAAACCCATTGTGCCATAAGATGAACACAAGTAACAGGCGCATGAACAAGTCACAGGGGTGGAAGCCGTGGTATGAACGTACCAGAGAGGCAGACATTCTGTAAGTGCTTGTGCACGCATTTTTACCCCACAGTGGGCATGTCTACATGTGCCTAAACCTAATGAGCCTTGTGCGCATCTACATATGGACACGCTAATGCGCATGAAATTTAGCCATGAATAGCCAAGTTGCATTAGTGCACATGTAGACACGCTAGCGCACATTAATGTGGTGTCTATCCACTGACGCACACTGTGTTAATGGGCATGGGCGTGTATAGACGTTTGCTAATGCAACATAGCTAATCATGCATAAATATGATACCTACTTAATGCAGGTATCAAACGTAGGCTCGAATAGCCTAAAATTGCCATTTTATAGGCACATTAAGGGCACGCACGTGTAGACATGTGCCTTTAACAAGCCTTAAATTGGGCTAATACACACTGTTCTACCACTGTAATCCTTCCTTCAGGTCTACTGAACCTTTCTGAAGCCCACCTTCCCCACACAAAGAATGCTTTCAGATGGTTTTCCTTTCCAAGTATTTTCAGCTTCAAAAGCAAGTGAGTAAAGCGTAGGACCTTTAGGGTTAAGTCTAATCTCTGTGGACATGCATCAGGACAGCAGCAGGGTACCACTGAAGAATATCTGCACCGATTCCTAAACAAAGCGTCTTCAGTGGAAGTTTCAAAGTTGATTTCACTAGAGGTGCTTCCAGTTAGCCACACATACTCTCTGAACTTTCCAAATTGCACAAAAATGTTTATTGTTTTAGTTTAGTACATTCAGTCTTATACAGACTTGAATACAGTAGTTCAAAGTTTTTTGGCGAGGTCAAATCCTTAAAAACCCTTTTTCGCTTTTAAAACAGAAAAAAAAATTGCCATGACAATTAAAGATAATGGAACAAATGAAAGCAGATTTCATTTTTGATCAAAGCTTAACATTTATGTATATATTTTAGTGGTTTTTAATATTACTGCATTTAAACAGAATAGACGAACACACAAGTGAAAATATTAAAAGACATACATGTTAAAAAAAACAAACTGAGGCATCCAGACATTTGAGACTTTTGGAATAGAAATGATCTGCCCAGTTGTCCCATTTGTATGCTTTTAGAGCAGTGAACTGGTCTGGAATACTGGTGCTGTTTTCTGATCACCAGTTAATACTGAATGGCAACTCAGTTTCAATGCCTTGCTTTTAAAATTTCACTGCTTCCTGCAAACAAATGTGCAGATTCTCAAATATGCAAACAACCAACTGATAAGTCTAGATGAGATATTAAATAGTCCCTCAAAACCATCCCTATTGTACTAGTCTATTGTTGAAGACAGGCAATATCCAGAACAAAATCTGAAAAAGGCAACACGTTTTGTTTTTAGTTTTGAAACACTGACATGAAAAACTGAGTAAATTAGAAAAAGGATAAAGTCAATCTTAATATAAGACATTCATAATATAGTGGGACAGGATAGAATTAGTGGACAAACGATCAGCATTACAATGAGCCTTCTACATTTGGTTATTTAATGCACGTGTTCTACAATCATGACTTGCTACCACATTTTATTTTCCTGTACAGAAAATAGCAATACGTTTAAAGCCCTGTTTTGCTCTTTGTAAAGTCCCAGATCAACAAGAGGCGTTGTATCAAGTTCTTCAGGCTTCCCTCCCTAAAAGGCCATGGGTGAAGAACCATTAACAATGCTTGTCAGCAACTGCAGTGTACCAATTTTTGCTGGGATTTTCAGAAGGGCATCCAGGAATTCAAGTCACACAACTCTCATGGGATGTCAGTGAAAATTGATGCCATGGTCCCTCGAGAGCCTTTTGAAAATTCCAGCCTATTTCAGCACCAATAGATATGAACACTTCTGGACAACTGCTGACTCTTCTTCAGTGTAATTTGGATGTTCGGATACATAATAGCTGGCCACCTTCCTTAACACTGCCAAGTTTTGAGAAGTCTGCACTCATTAATACAACTGTCTCTGTAGACAGCATGGGATGGGATAGGATTCTTAAAATATTTTACTGGTATTAATTATTTCTCTGAAGTACTTTTGCTTCTGCCTTTGATAAGCCAGGCTACGTGTACTCTAGCAAGCAGAATGTTTTCACATTACAGCTTGGCAGAACTATCTTTTGAAATTCAATTGTCTTAAAACTTTCAATACAACTACACTTGTCATAAAACCGTTGGAAGAGGTATCATGTTTGCTTGTCAGTACATTATGTGGAATGTAACCAGTTGTTGCAAGGTTTTGCAATATGAATAACTGCATAGATGACAGTTGCGTGTTTTCAGTTCGAGAAATGTACTTTTAAAATTTATAAAACACAAAAAAGTTTCTATAAAAATCACGTTATATCAAGATGACGGGTGGTAAAACTAGATTTATCCGTCCATGATTCATGATTATTAAATGGCTAGTGGAAAAGTGATAGAAACCAACAAAAAAAGGTACATCGTTGCTATTGCACTGACTTCACAATTTGAATCATTAATTTAGAAAATCCATGTATTAAAAACTAGATTTAAACTAGAATACAAAAATTCAGGTTTGTAAACATCAGGTAGCCAGTTCTCTAATGCGGAATGGACTATCTGTACTGTAGTACAGTATCTTGGTTATTTACAGTACTTGCTGTACGAAGAGCAATTCCAGGACACATTACACAATAGCAGTTCACAGTAAATGTGTTCAAGAACTACCAAAGTCAGTGCAGGTTTTCCTGTGCAATTTCTCAATTCCCCAGAATTCCTCAAGTCAAATAATACTGCTATACACACCTAGTGCAGGGTTGGTTTTTTTGTTTTGTATTTATCATAAATGGCGAATAATATCTGCGGGGCTTCTGTAAAGGTATTTCCAAATGGCATAGTAATGAACTGCAGCGGCTGTGGCTACAAATATGTGCCAGATGGCATGGGCAAAGGGAATGATTCCATCGCTCTTGAAGAACACCACTCCTGTACAGTAAATTAAGCCTCCCCAGGCGAGCTCTTGAAGTCCATCAGTGTTGTTCTGTTGAATGGACAAGGAGAGGGTAAAAAAAAAAAAAAAAGAGTTAGCCTCCAGGAAATGAAGCTGGACACAGAATTTCAAGAAGTCACCAAGCCTCATTAGTAAGAGGGGACTTCATAACATTCAGGAGGACAAACAGCATTATTTTGACACCTGGCTCCAGGCTACATAATATATTCTAGTTGTACAAGGGAAAGCTTCCAAGCCTTTCCAAGCAACAGCTAATGCGATTAGAACAAGCAGGGTAAACAGTCCTAACAGCTTATAATTTGGGCCTACCATGTCTTTCCACAGTCATCCAATTGCATTGCTTGTAAAAGATTTATACTGTTTCACCAAGTTCAAGAGTGACCATTTTTGCCTTTTCATTTATATTTAAAATCTGTCTCTCCATATTTTTGGCAGTTTGAACAATAAGACAATCATAATAAAAATGTAGTGTTGTTGGAAGTTTTACTGTTTACTGCTATACAAACACTATCAGGGTGACATGATCAGAATTAAAGCAGGCTGAAAAAAGGCTGTGTTGTGTGCCAGGTCCCCAGGAAGGTGCACATTATATTTAAGACCCAATTACAGTGTTCATTGTGCCATAAATAGTAACCTGGCCACAGGTTAAAGCCAATTTGTGGCATGATAGTATCGCTAACGAGCCACAAAAATGCTGAACATTGCAGCTCATTTGCATCGTGCCTTAAACTGAAAGGGACACAGCCATCCCATACACAATCGGTGCATTTAGGCTAGGGGCAGCATTGAGTCCTGGACTCAGAGTCCCTGCCAGATCCCTGGAGGGGGACAAGAGGGGTGCCATGAGCTTGACATGAGGGAGCATCTCCCTGAACTTGGTCTCACCATGTCTAGGACTTTTAAGAAGTGTGTGTGCAGCAAGGAGCCCCAGCTGCACCCCTGCTGTTTCATGCTCCCAGAGTGCCCATGGAGACAGCAGCTGAGGAACTGGGCACTGTGCTCCATACCTGCAGGCACTGCTTTACAACATGTAGTACAATCACCTGGGAAGTCAGGAGCTCCCAGCTTCCGGTACCCTACACCACATGCAGAGCTTTAAAAAGCACTGCTGCTGTGGCTTTCCTGCCAGGGACCTTAAACTCTACGTCAGGCAGCTCTGGGCAAGCTACTGGGCATGTGGGGGTCAGAGGCCCCTAGCAGGGTTTAAAGTCTAGCAGGGGAAGCCCTTTGGCTGATCCCCCACTCCTGACAGCCTGACCTGAACATGGGATTTGACAGCTAGATGATTATCAGCTCTGATCTCAAGGATCAACTGATTGTCAGTCTGGGTCCCTGGTAGAGTTCCAGGGCCCAGCTGGACCTGCAGGAACTCCTCTTTCAACTTGTGATTGTGATCCTGGGCTCCTCCTGCACTGGCATATAGTAAGAGTGTGATTGAGATCTCATCTCTAATGCCAACGATCACATAGTAGGAGGCATGATTGTTGGGACTGGATCTGTCTGTTATCCAAATCTGATGTATGCAATGCTATTAACTACAGAAGGAGCATGTGCTAAGCTTTTTGCACCTCATTAAGGCTGGTTATATTGTTTCTCACAAGTCTGTATGGCTCTAATGGCAGCATTGATACTGGCAGGCTTTGGTCAGCTCAAGCCTACTTTAAAAGGCCTGGAAAAAACTGACAGCTCCCAACCAGTTTCACCAATTATGCACTGGAAATTCAGTTAGGGTGCAGAGGACACAAAAGCACCAGAGCGCCTATGTAATGAGCCAATGTAAAAATAATCAAATTTTGTTACAGTGTGAGCAATAAGTAACCACTTGAGGCTGATATATTATTCACTCAAGCAAATTATGTATGGCTAATGGATACAAGCGGAGTATACTTTATTACGATTTTGATATAATTATTGATATGCACATAGCAAAAGTCTGGTACATGATTTTAGATATTCTCAGAGTATTGTGTCTATTAAATTTCGTAGAGTTACTCAAAGCACAGAGAGAGTTGTTGTGACCATTTTATAGGCCATACTGCACAGCCCAGGAGGATGAAGGTGTTTTTGTTTTTAATAGATTTCCCAGTTGCCTGGTATAAGTACACTACAAACAGATCAGTCTTTAACCCATTGCATTCATTATTCTGGAGGTGCCTCTACTAAGAGCCAGAAAATCGTCCAAGTTATTTTTAGAAAGGAATGAGGACCCTATTTGCATCTAGATTTTAAGCCAGACCAGGAAATATATTGCTCAGACTTAAGACAGCTATTAAATAATCCAAACTGAAAGCACAGTACCCTTTAGGAAGCTATAGTACGCTGTAGGAAGTCTACATTTCTAAATTAAAAGCTTTCTTCTGACTTTCCAAGGGAAAAGAAAGCTTTAAAATAGGTTCATAAATATTAAGACCCAAACATGTTTATGATAGAAGGTAATTGAAACACTTTGATTTTCTGCCACTCCGATACAAAAGTACCATGTTTACATGATAATTATTTAAGAAAGAGTCTGTAAACTAGATGACATTTTACTGGACGGTTCTTAAGCTACAAGCTAAATGGATAACTTAAATACATTCAGTACTTCTGCATCTAGCATTTAGAATAGCTTGTTGGACTGAAATTAAAACCGATTCAGAAGAAAAAAAAGGAACTTCACTGTAAGTCTGTTGCTACTTTTAAAAGAAAGCTCACGTTAACAGACAGATTCCTTACCATGGATGTCACAACCAGAGCAGGAGAAAATCCCATTGCTAAATAGAAAAAGAGTTCAACAATCTTATACCTGAAACAGAACAAATTAGGTAATTTAGGAAATAGACAAGGTGAATGTTTCAAGCACATTTAATCTTTTCTTCCAGACAAGATAAACATACACTTTTTACATTAACAGTTGCCTATTACCTACCAAAAAGTTTTGTACAAAGATGGATATTATCAAGGTTTCAATTTGCATAACAGCAGACTGATATTTTTCTAACTATTGGAAGAGGGCAGCATGCTAGAAACCTGGCAACACACTTTTCTAAACATTTGCCAAAGACAATGATGTCTCTTCATGGTTTGGAGAGGTACTTGCAAGTACCAGTCAGTCTCTTGCTTGGTGGGGGGCAAGAGGGGGTGAAGGAACTGGGGGATATGCATTCTTTAAAACCTTTTTCCAGATTTGCTGGAATAAGGTCAATGAGTGAGACTCAGTCAAGGAGGCAATTACAGCAGCTTGAGGAAACAACAGCGCAAACTAAGCAAACCACTAAATCAAATTGACCATTAGTAAAGTTCAAGAAGAGCTTAGCATTCTTGTGTATTGTTAGTATTCTTGCAGTTCAATCCACCTATAAAACTTAGTACTGCAATACAATCCTATCCAGAATGTTACAGTAATTAATAAAGGCATCTTGATTGCCTCAATCTCTCTCTCAAATACCTCCATAAGATACTGAAGAGTAAAACATCTGTTCTAAAGATGTAAAGTTATTGTAAATTTGTGCCCACTTGATCATCTATAAAGCTCTATTGACAAGATGTAAGCTTGCATCCTTCTATTTATGTATTTCTATATTTTAATGAATTTAGTTCAATGTGAAAGATGAATAATGAACTGATGCATTGCTGCAGAAATACTTTTTTAAAAAAAGCAAAAAGTTCAAATTGAGTGGAAAGTTAAATGCAAATTATAATTCTTACTTTTCATGGTAGAGAAATACATAAATGGTTCCTCCAGCCGCCATTAGCCAGATAAACCAACGCATATGAGATGCCAGAGGTCCAAGCTCACGAAGATTTAACCTGGAAGCGTGAAGATTACAATAAATAACAAAAGTGATGAATGTGTGGAACTTACTGATCTAAAAAAAAGAGGTGTTTTTGTTTTGTATTTTTTAAATGATGTACAATTTGCTTAGATACTAAAAAGGAAAAAGTCCTGAAAAATCTTGGAGAGGTAGGCAGTTTTAGTTCAACTATTAGCTTACATTCTCAAATAAGGGAAGTCCATGTTCCAAAGAAGGTGTGGGTAGGGGAAGGAAGAGCACTTTCTTACTTCCAAAATCACTTTCTGCCATCCATTTAAGGAGCAACAAATGGTACTGGGAGAGAGTCAATCAAGAGAATTTGGAGACAGGTATGTGTTTATAGAAGGGATTAAACACATTATACCTGTGTAGCACCTTTCCCATCCACTTTTCAAACTGAAGTCCTTGCAAGATAGTCAAGTACCAATTTCAGGATGGGATTATGGAGGCATATCAGATGACTGCTCCATGCCTGCAGCCAGTTAGCAAAAGAGCAGACAAGCTGACAACAGAATTTAATACTCCTGAACCCAGGCTCCTGCTATAGCCACTAGCTAACTACCCTCTCCCCCACCCCCCAAGCTATTTCTTGTCCCCAAGAAGTATTTCAAGAGTATTTGAGAGTATTTCAAGATGTGAACATTATATCTTTAGAGAGATTTTTTCACTGCAACATTAAGAACAGGCTACAGAAGCAGGGAGAGAGAATATGGCAATTCAGAATTTGGATAATTTGGTAATTGATAAACTGAAAAAAACCCATTATTTAATTTCTTTACTTCTGGCACTTAGAAATGTCCAAGTCTAAGAATGGGGGAACAGGGCAATCTGTGGCCCCACTTATATTCTTTATATAAGCACTGAAGTGTTGAATAAAATAGGAGTGTAGTTCAAGTTCTGAGAATCTCTGTAAATGAAGATTATGAAAAAAATATTAAGGAAAGTGACAAAAACTGCATATTCCCCTTGTATTACAAAAATATGGCAGTGACAGGATAGCTAGACCCTGAAGGTTTATGCCATATTCCATTTCATTCTGGCAGCGTGGTCAGTCTAATCAACTCCTCCCCAAAGCTGTTAAGGATTATTTGGAAGTCACATTGATAAAACACTCAAGGAAGCATTAGTTTTTGAAAATACACATCAGATTTCTTACCAAGGTGCATATGATGCTGCAATAAAGACATAGATCATCATTCTGTCACACATGTGAAAACAATGTTCCATTGTCCTAATAAAGAGAGAATAAATCACTAAGACAGAGGTTTTAGAATGATTTCATGATTCCTTTGATGAATACAAAATAGCATGTAAGCCCTCTCTGGCATGAACAACATCAATGTTAGCTGCTTTTACTAATGATAGGGTAACTTCCTGAGTGCCTTCCACCTCTTTTAGGACACTGGAACAGGAAGAGGACCTTCTGGCAGTGCTCTGTGCCATGTTCTCCAGGCTGGGCCTGGCTCATAGCTGTACCATATTTGTGCTCCACTAAGGCCCCAGGAAGCTATATTCAGGCCAGTGAGAGCACCGCAGCATTTCACCCAGGTCTTTTCCTCTCCCTACAGCCTCCTTGTCAAAACACAGACGTAGAGAGCTGATGCACCATCTCTGCTACCCAGACGGACAGGCGGCAGGAAGAAATCTTAATGACAGTGCTTAATTTGTAGCCCTGTGACAGCACAGCCAAGAATCTACTCTGTTTTGCTGTTGGGAGACCAGCTTTGAAGTATTACTTTCATCTGGTCAACCATGCATTAGCCTGTAAGCGTCTTGGCAGGTTATACATCTACCTCAGTATATTGTAATGTGCCAGAGTCCCTGACAAACTCGCATTTCCATAACTAAGACTAAATCCACCTCACATTTAAACCTAGCAGTCCTCTCACACAACTCTGTATTTGCAGTGCAAATTCCCATTCATGCCAGCATTACTTTCTGTTAATGCTGCTAGTTGTGTGGTTCTGTTGTATAGCCCTAGGAGAATGAACAACTGCCATGTTTCAGAGATGACGAAGATTTCATTATATAGTTAAAAGCGATTTAGGATTATGTGTTGGAAAGCGGTGTGTGTGTACACAGTTATTTTAAAAGAGTTGTTTTAAGCTTGCCCTTCTCCCAAAAGGACCATGTTACAGGGTGTGAATGTAAAAGCCTGACTAAATGTGACAGACTGATATTCTACATAAACATCATCAAGACCTGAAGGCAGCAAAGTAATTCCTTCCCATCAAAGTAATATCTTTAAACAACAATTACTGTTACAAGACATTTCTTGTTAATCAGCATGGCTATTTTAGGACTGTCACCTCGACATGGAAGGCTTGTGCAGAATAATAATTTATTAGGCACTGAAATGCAAACTGTCTGCAACAGAAGCAAGGTTTTCTAAAGAAAAAACAAAACCAAACACTCCACACAACAGGTAAAGGTGCTCCCTACAATAGTCTGCAAGACACAGTAAATGTTAGGGAGGACCTATGGGGACTTATCCGAGATACCAGTTTCATTCCTAGCAGTGATGTGGGGTTACTGATTCAGAAGAATTTCAGCAGCAGAATGAACAATGCATTACGGACAGCACAAACACAGCATCTGAGCATACCTTAAGTGACTCTTTTTCCAAGAAACTATGTGAAACACAGTCGAGACTATGAAGAGTGCGCAGAGGCCTATGCCGTACATCCATGCTGTTATCTTTTCCCAGCGATCATCTGAGAGCCGATGGAGGAGGGCGCTACCCACAATGGCTGGGACAATGAGGAACTACGAAAACAAGAATGTGGTTATTCTCTATCCTTAACCAATATGAAACATCACTGGCCATTTTAAACCCACTGCTGAACTATGAAGCCCTCTGGTTACGGTACTCAGGCAACAGCCAACAGAGCCAATGATACACTGTATTGTATTGGCACGTACATCTTTCTGCACATGCCCTCATCTTCATTTTACCCAGTATTTATTAGCTGTGTGGCAACTCTCTAATGGCAACACCTTCAAGAGGATACAAAACTCAGTTTAGATGCCCAAATGTTTCGTGAGTTATCATTAGTAGGTACTAATTAATTCTACCCTCTCCTTGCATTCACATTTAGAAACAATCTGTAGCCTCATTAGTCACAATGCAAATGAAAAGACTCTCAACCCAACTCTATTTACATGCCCACTTATACCCAAGCAGATGATATTTTGCCTTTACAATAGTTTTTCCAAGCCCAAAGCAATACAGTGTTAAAATTCATTTTTTTTTTAATCAAAGTAGATGTTATCAAAATGGAGGGCTGGCTTCTGCCTTGAGATGTAGGCATAGCTGCCACTACCGTCCAATGGAGTCCAATTCAGTACATGTATCCAATTAAGAGAAAAAGTTGGTCCTTTGCAGGCCAAGCAAGACAGACTGAAGTCCTACTGAAGTCAATAGGCTTCAGATACCCACTTGGCTGAGCTGGTGCCAAACAGGCTACTGACACTGAAATTACTGTATGGCAGAAACTTCCCTTTGCATAAATGAAGTGATAAATGCCATGCCAATGTAACACTCTTTAAAGAGAAGGGGAATAAATGGTACCTTTAAAGCACCTTTATTCTATAAAACTAGAGCCATACTAATGGATGAATCAATACAATTATTTCAGTACCATTCTCCTCTGACCAAAAGAGAGACATACCACTATGAAAACCTGTGCATAGACCAGACTTTCATAAGTAGCAGTGGAAAATTTGTCACAGATGCAATTAAATATTTAAAAGGGTTTTCTTCTGCACTCTTGATAATAGAACAAATTAATCTGTTAGGCCAGCCTATATTAAGGCTTAGAAAATAATTCTCAATTCACAGCTCCAATAAGGCATAACCTATTTAATGTCATTTTTCAAGGCTGAAGGAACAATCCGTATGAATTATCATTCAAGACATTTGAACTGTGGATTTGAAAAGGCATTTCAAAATCTGAGGAATGGAGTGTGCAATAATTTACAACAATAATTTACAATAGTGCCTGCTACACAAGTAGTCAGTTTGGCAAGGCAACATCTTTCATTAGGCCAACTAGATAGCTGCAAAAAATGTCTTTATTTGCAAGATAATAAAAGATATCACCTCCACCACACTGACTGCTTTTGCTTTTAGACCAACACAGCTACCACCTTTATCCCTGGTAAATGAGTAACGATTCTTAAATAAACAGGTACTGTAACAATTGCATATAATATCTATAATACTTTGTGCCTTCTATCTGGAGGCTCTTTTAGAAAGATTAGTAATTTTAACCTAATATTTTAGGGCTTTGCAAGCTTATACTATTATATCCCTAATTCCACAGCATTGTGGACACATTTCCCCTCTTTTGAGCTCACGCTGAATGCAAATTCCACAAAATTAAGGATTGTCAGACCATCTAGTCATCAGTGGTCAACTTATTTATTACATGCCATTAACTTTCACCCAGATATCCCAAGGATTCCAGCTAAAGCCTTTCTTTAAGTCTGCAGGAGACTAAGCTGTGTGCCACAGGCAGTGAACAAGGGACAAGAGTGCTACCAATGAGGCCCCTACAATCACTCGAGGGAACCGATTAGGTGACTTCCTCCGTTCTTACAATTTAAATGAAAGTCCCATCTAAATTCCCTATTTTTATTAAAACCACAGTAAGTTCAAACTCTGTATACTTTAGCCTACCAGTGTATCACCCATGATATTAAGCTTTAGATGTCCATATTTAAACAATAAGGCTTATTGTTTACACTTATTCAGGTAAATTACAGAGCATTCAAGACAGACGATATTTCCAGTGGTGGGTTAGCCAGGTACTTTTTAAGCAGTGACCAATATATTTACACTTACTGCTGCTAAAACAACGTGCCAGTTGATTTTACTACATTTTCATTAAGGCTGTTTTAGGAAGAATGCAACTGCAGATCAGTGCACGGATGAAAGGTATGAACAATAAGTCAGTTACTGCCCTCTTTTCTCTCTCTCTGCTCCTCCCTGCCCCACCTGTTTTCTTCTTAGCTTAAAAGAAAATTTCCACTCCTACAAATGGATGAGCCGCACACAAGAAGGACTTACCCTTTCTTCTGCGTATTCCATTTAGAAAGAACCCTACTTCACCTTTGTGCAGTTATGGCTATCATGAGAACAGTTAGACTAAACAAAGGGTGTTTTATTACTTCGGGATTTTGTTTCAAGTTTTAATCTAGGTATTTTACGTCAAGCCAGAAATGAAATTCTGCTGTTTACCAGCCTACTAGAAAAAGGTTCTTTAATGGAAAACTTCTATTCAATACAGGTTTTAATAAAAAAAAAAAAGAAAGAAAATTACATGTATGTGGCTATTATCATCCCTCTTTTGAAAGCAGGATATAGCTGCCCTCACAGAACAGTGATAAAAATACATGTTTTCCACTAATGCTTTTAATCTTTGCTACAAATTTCTCAATCCTCAAAGGCAAAGAACTGACGGGTCCTTCAAGTTGATGCATACTAACAAACTAATAAAAAGGAATTATTTCTGATGGAGAGTGATAGAAATGCTGCCTCATCTTAATCTACGGTAACACTGCTAAGTTGTCAGACAGTGTTCTTGGTGTTAAAATTTGCTGAAAGTTATACTTTATTTATGGAGTAAGCAAAATGGCTTGTGCTAGTGCTACAAAGACACCAACTTCTGACTATCCAAAACCAAGTCAGCATTAAGATAAATTGATTTGCCTTTGGAAGTATTCCCTTTCCTAGTTTTAGCACTTTACCTAAAAATACTTGCTAAGATAACATAGGGTTGAGAAGGAACTTTGGAGTAGAGACTTCTGCTCAGTTTTACAGAAAAAAAGGCCAGAAAGGAGTGAAGATGTATTTGCTTATTTAATGGGTTGTCATTTTCACAGATGCCTAAAAGATTTTAGGGGCTGAATTCCCTGTGTGCCTGGATGAGCTGTGGGCACTTAATTCTTGCACCCTGTTGAAAATGTCACCTTGCTATAATAAAGTCATTCATAATCACAGCCCATGAAATCAAAAATTAAGTTAGTTTTCTGAAGTACTGGCTAAATATCATCTAGCAACTGTTAGGCACAGCACCAGCTGTAAGAAGGGCCTATAGGACAAGGAAGGATATAGAAGCAATAAGTTTGAGTCATCAATGGAACCAGTAACCCCTAAATGTCAATAGAATCACATTGTCAGAACATGCATTTTCGCTGAAAACAACACTTTGCAAAACCTAGCTGACTTTGCTGGAATTTCCTTTTCAAAGAAAACTGTGGAGAGGCGGGGAATAGAAGAATCGGGGATATCAAAACAACCCATTTCCCAATTTTTTGGAATGAAACATTTTAAAATTTAGCATACAGTACAATGCATTCAAATCTAAAAGTAATGCTTTCTTTTGTCAAGATGAAATGTTTTGATTGGTCCAGAAAGGGAGGTTTTTCTCTCCTGTGAGTTGCTCCCTCAACAAATATCAAAACAGGAGGTTTGATTCCAAATCTGGAACAAACACAATATCAAATTCTTTATAACAGGACTGTCCAACTAGCAGCCCATAAGAGACCAGCGTGAAACCTCTCCCCTGGCTGTGTGACAGGGAGGGGGCATGCCTCCCCTGCAGCTTGCATGGTTGGCAGGGAGTGGGGAGGCAGGGATTCTGGAGAACTGCACAGCAGTGAGGTGGGCAAACAATCCTGGCAGGGCTGCACACTGCTGCACACCGCTCATGCAGTGACTGTGGGGAGTCCAACGGGGCCTGCTCCCACAGTGCAGGATGGGTGCATGCCAGTGCTGCACTGAAGTTGGGGAGCCCTGCTTTACAAACCAGGACTTCTGTCTTGTGCACCGCTGTAATGGGTCACTCACACTCAAGGTGAAATCCACACACCGCTCGTATTAGGAGGACGCAAACATCTTTATAGACTGTAGGAGCTCGGATCTGCTTTCTATCACTGCAGTGTAGCAAAGCTACAGAAACTGTCTGTCTCCATTACAGTTTACTTGGGTTCATCAGCAAGCTAAGGGGAATATTTTGCCCCATTTCTCCAGGCCAGCCCTTTAGCAGATCTGTGAGACACCATTTGTGACCTTTGTAGCTCAATCAGTGGCTATGCCAATGTGCACCCACTCATGAATTACCTTCTCTTCACCTCCAGCAAGGGAGGAAAGCTTCATGGAGCAGGGAATTAATAGCTTATGCTGTGTGTATAAGCTGAAGTACAGGGAACAGTGGCTGTGTAGAAAGAAGGTACTTGGCTCCAGAAGCACATTTCACAGCCTGCATCAGTCCTTCCTTCCATCCAAGAAGTCAGCTGGGATCCCACAGCTTCTCTTGGACTTGTGCAACCTCTCTGCTTCTGCAGTACCAGCTCTGAGGTATGCAGACCAGGACTAATATAAGAATGCCTCCTTATATGACAGCAAAGCAAAGAGACTTCAAAAAATTAGTAGGAAGTAAGTTCTGTTTACACTGTTGACCTTTGTGTAATTTAGTACAGCCCACGCTTTCTATTCAGTACATGAGAAAATTTCACTTCCACATCAAATAAAGCTTACCTTACAACTCAACTGTGACCGTCTCCTGCTTCACTCATACGCAGGTTCCTTCCTGTTCCTCTAACTACTGAGCTGTCTTTTCAGTGTTTCTACTTTCCTCTGTTTAGCTGCCCTTCCTGCATCTCAGGAGTCTAAAGACAACTTCAGTGTTTGAATTTAAGCTAAAAAAATCAAGACATTAAAAAAAGCCATTCCAAACAGCATTTTCTACATCTGACTATAC